AAACTTTTCCAAACTAGCTTTTGTGTTTCAAAATCATGTTCACCTTTTCTATATACTGTTTTTGTGTAGTAAAAAATAAAAAAATAAAAGCCATTCAAATCATCCAAGTCTCGTTCAGTTCGCCGATTCGAGTTTTTCATTCAAGCTTTAATGTGACTTTATGTAAAAACTTTTAACTGTATTAAAAAAAAATTAGATGCGACTTTTTATGAGAGCTTTTAAATGTAACAAAACTAGAATTGAAAACTTGAATCGGTGAAATGAACGAGGCCTTAAAACTCTTAAGAAAAAGTGTTCAATTCTGATGCCTTGGTAAAAACTTAAAATAGAATTTGCGTCATTTAACAAGATATATACATCATTCAGATGCCTTGGTAAATCAGACTTTGATATTATTAGTAAGTTTTAGTGTTTACAATACTGTGTGTTACATCCAAGTATCCATACACTAAAAGACAGTTATGAAGCGGGGAGGTTATCCAACTGTGATTAGTAATTATTTCATTTCTCATTCATGAAGTGCACAAAGGTGTCGAGCAACTTTTACCACTTTGGAAACTATGGACTTTTGTATCAAAGGTCGTACTTTTCGTTTAGACTAGATACAGTAACTTTCAGCATTTCCGAACTTCCAGAACCTCAAAAGATTAGTTTACTTTTTCTCGGGAAGCTTCTCTAGCAACTCAGGTATCACCTCGAAGAGATCACCTACGAGTCCGTAATCAGCAACCTGCGAACGCATCAAAGAACTCATTAAAATGTACCAGCAAACAACTAAGATCATCATACATTTGGTTGTATTGGGAAGAGAAACAAAAATGTCCTAGATTACTGAACCCCAGGAACTCTGTTTGAGAAAAAAAGTTCACAAGTTCAACTTCAAACCATCACCTGAAATATTGATGCATCAGCATCCTTGTTCACAGCAACAATGACTTTCGAATCTTTCATGCCTGCTAGGTGTTGGATGGCTCCAGATACACCGAAAGCCATGTATAACTCGGGGGCAACTATCTTTCCAGTTTGCCCAACCTAAAACAAACCAGTCACATTTGAGAACCATGGGAAGAGAAGGCCATGAACACATTAGACTGTTAACAATTTTATATGAGATGTGAAAAATGAGGCCGATAAGATGCTTTGAGTCATAATCTCTGAGCAACCAAACTTGAATTTTGTTTTTACAAAAAAATAATAATAATAAAATAAAATAAAATTATGGATACATGCATGATTGTCGAATTATATTGAAAGTAACCATCACTGGAATTACCTGAAGATCATTAGGGACAAAACCCGCATCAACAGCAGCTCGGGTAGCACCAACTGAGCAAAAAAGAAGAGAGAAATTTCTGGTTACATAGAAGGAGAAGAACCATTGTTGAAAACAACACCATATGCAGTTACATCTAAACTGGAAGATCAAGACTCAAGTTCTCACGAAATTTAAAACATCCTCATTTCAAATTGTATTTGAAGATATTGAATCATTGCATGTCTTGCAGTAAAAAATATACGCATTTAGAATCTTAGACGAAAAGAACAATGCAGATCACAGAAATATTAAAAAAAAAAAAAGGCTCTTTTTTTTTTCCCCCTTCTGAACACACAAGATTTTTGTGGAAGAGCTACCAGCTGCACCAAGTTTCTCTGCAAGTTTCTCTATCATTTTGAAGTTTTCACCACTTTTCAGCCCACGCCCCCCAGTAACCACTACACGAGCATTCCCAAGATCAGGCCGTTCTGTGTCTTGAGATGAAAGCTTTACATATCTTGATTGACCAATAAAATCTGCAAATAATGAACAAGAAAGTATGTCAAAATTCGGCTTAGCTTTAATCAATAACAAATAATGTACATATTCTTTCTGTAACAATTTCAAAGCAGGATCTGGCCAATGTATCAACTATGCGAAAGAAAAAGATAAACAGACCTTCACTAAAGGTGGAGAGATCAACCTGGGTGATTGGAGCTTCATTAGATTTTGAATCATCAAAGGTGGTAGTAACCGGAAAAGATGTTGATCTGATGGTCAACATGCAAGGGCCAGTACCAGTGTATTTAACAGTACAAAGTGCATTTCCAGCATATATTGGCCTGTCAAATTAAAATAAAATATTGCTTGACGTTTCTCAATCGCAATCATTTTAAAGACGAATGAGCAGAAACATGCCGCCTCTAGCACCTAGCAGAACCTAGAAG